GGCATGGAGAGGCTGCACAAAAGAAGATTCTAAATGAGACTGAGTGCCAATAGACTTGTCTCACCAATTGTCTTTCCTAGTTTTCTTCTCTATTCCAAGTTAGGGTGCTCCTTACACAGAGCAAGGGAACTTAAAAAGCTACTAATATAATGGATACGCACACAGAGGTATGCACCCCCACGGCGTCATGCTCACTCTCACTATAACCGTTTTCAAGGCCCAAGGTCCATGGCAATGTCAAAAACAAAGACCTTTCTGTGAGAGAGCATATTAGTTTTCTGTTGCTGCATAACAAATTACCACACACTTAGTGGCTTAAAATAATGCGAATTTATTATCTCTAGGTTGTAGATGAAGAATCCAGAGAGGCTGGGCTGGGTTCACTGCTTATATGAAGGCTCTCAGGAGGAATCCACTTCCAAACTCATTCCGATTGTTGTAGAATTCACGTCCTTGTGGCTATAGAATTGAGGTCCCTGTTTCCTTGCTGGCTGCCAGCCAAGGTCCACTCTTTACTCAGAGTCAACCCATTTTTTTTCTCATGCAGCCCCTTCTGTCTTAAAAGCAGTGACACTTCAAGTCCTTCTCACACTTTGAATCTCTCTGCCTTCCTCTTCTGCCTTCTTTTGCCACAGCAGTAGAAAGCTCTCCTCTTTTAAGGGCTCATATGTTTGATGGGGCCCATCTAGATAATCCTGGATATTTTCTCTAGCTTAAGGTCAACTATGCCACATTAACATAGTATATTCATGAAGTGCTATATGATCATATTCATAGGTTCCCAGGATTAGGGTAGCACATCTTTGGGAGGCCATTTTAGAAATTCTGCCAACCACAAATAACTTTGGCATTTCAATAGCTAAACTTCCATAAAAGATACAGATATATTTAATTTTACAATATGACAAAAAATATTGTTTGGAGTTAGGGTTTTTTTTGTTTCGTTTTGTTTTGTTTTAATGAAGCAGGAGAAAGGGAGGAGGAAGAAGAGAAAGGAGAGAAAGAAATTCAAGAGAGCAAAAATTAAGTGTGTACTGAAAGGAAGGGAAGTAACATAAAATGTGTCTTGCTAGGATTCCAGATAAAAGACAGAATACAGAAATAAGACCCCCGTGGGAAACCCCCAGTTTAAAAAGGGCAAATTGAACAAATGTATATCTCTGTTCCCTCTACTCCACTGAAATTACTTAAAAGAATAAAAATGGTGTCAATCGACAAGGATAAAGAAGGCAGGAGAGGAGAGGACAACTGACACCAGAGCTCAATGAAGCTTTGGAAGATGGAAAACAGGTTCATAGAACTGACTTAGCCAAGCAGAGGAACCTTAAATCCAGAGGCCTCTAGAGGAGGATAAAGACTCGGGTGAGGCCAATTGACTGTGCATTATTTAATTAAAAATTAGACAGCACTCCATTTCAAAGCAGAATTTGGTAGCTTTTTGAAAGCAGGTGAAAAATAAATTGTCCAATATGGCCTCAATTTATTGAAATGCACGCAATCCCATTAAATTCACAAGGGTGAACTTCTCAGGAACATCCTTGATACTTTTCATGGAAAGGCCTGCGTCTCTAGACTAATTTCTACTTTCTCAAGGTCAATTCATTAGCTTGTCAATGGCTCTCCAGTGAGTTCAATGGAAGTCCCAACTGACACTGATCAAAGCTGAAGGAAACAAGGCTGGCCTTGGGGCCTGCGCAGGGCTTCAGGGTTGTTTACCCTACTGAGTAATTCTTAGGACCATGGGAAACATTGCTAACTCTCGTTCAATCCCTTAGGACGTGGCATTTCTCCTTCTGCAGAGATTTATTCAGATATATTTAACAATCAGCCTTTCCTTATCTTCAGAAGATTTGCTTTTTGCCTTTTGTCTAGAAAAATCTCTCTTAAAATATTAGAGAAACAGAGAGAGATGGGGGACTATAACACACCCCAACAGAAAATTGACGGTATAATATACATGCTCAGCAGTTTCTCATTAAATCAGAAATATCTGAGTAAAAAGTGAAAATATGATGGCTATAATGGATGGTGGACAATAAAGGTGATCTTTTCTCTGAAGCTGTCTCACTTCCTCACGATAGAATGACATCTCACACATATGTCTGTGTACATAAAGTTGTGCTGGGTCCACTCTCTTTGCTGGATTTCCTCTGCTGCACCTCCATTGCTTCTACTCTTTGACTTTTCTCTCCTTCTAGTTAGAGGCTAAATATTCACTGAGTCTTTTTTATATATAATATCAAAATCAGTCATTTTGGAATGATGACCTACTAGGAAAGCTCAGTACTTTAAAACCTAAATGAAATTTATCAGTGGACTGGCCCTTTTTCTCCCTAGTCACCAGGACATAGAATATACTTATAAGAACCCAATGGGATCTAAATAAAATTGGAATGAAGGAAAGAAAATACACTTACACATAAGCTAAGATACATTAGTATAATTTTCTTCAGATTTCTGATTCTTGTATTCTCATGCATAATATCATAATGATACTGGCTCAAGACAAGGTTGACATAAGGGAAGCCATATTGTAGAAAAGAAACCCTGTTGTAACCTTGAATGACCTCTGACTAACTAGCTCAGCTGGATCTGCATCCTCCAGGAGACCTAACTGCTCTGTAGATTTTACAACCCCTGCTTTTGCGTGTACCTCCCAGCTGCAATAAGATGATAACTTTGTTCTTTTGAGGAATGTGATGACCCCCAAACAAAAAGTCTATGCTGATAGCCATCACCAATGCAAACCAAAAGAGCTAGTGTGGCACTCCCAGTCTGTAACACCAGAGGGTCAACATTCTTAACCCCTCCCCTGTAACCCACCAGCCTATATAACTGCTGTAAGATTTTGTGCCCCCTTAAGATGGTTCTTTTGGACATTAGTCGGCCATCCTCTCTCTTGCTAGCAAGCTGTAATAAAATGCCCTTTCTCTGCTACTATCTTGCCTCTTGAGGATTGGCTTTTGTCTCATGGCGAGCAGATCGTGCCCTTTGTGTGGTAACAATAATAACGTCAATAAGAGGGCCGGCCCCCTGGCTTAGTGGTTAAGTGCACACACTCTGCTACTGGCAGCCTGGGTTCGGATCCCGGGCGCGCACTGACGCACCACTTCTCCGGCCATGTCGAGGCCGCGTCCCACATACAGCAACTAGAAGGATGTGCAACTATGATGTACAACTATCTACTGGGGCTTTGCAGAAAAAAAAAGGAGGAGGATTGGCAATAGATGTTAGCTCAGGGCTGATCTTCCTCACCAAAAAATGAAAAAAAAAATAACATCCATAACATGGTGAACTTTTGGTGGTTGGTAAAAATATTCAAGATTTAATAGATTGGGAGAAATCATGCAACTAAGGGTACTTGTTAATTCTAAGCAAACAATTCCCAAAGCCCTTCAAATCAACCAGAAAACCCCCAAAAAAACTTCTTGAGCTTTCTTTTTATATCCTCCATAGGTATTAATGTACTGTAGGGAAGAGAAACACCTATCTTCATCGTAAAGACAGGTAAAACATGATACAAAAACAGTAGCTAAGTTTTCATTTGGATACATTTCTCTATGTATAAAAAGGCAATCAATGTATTAGTTGAATATATGCCTCAAGATGTAAATGTATCTCTCTTTGGTTTTGCTTTTCATTTTATAGTGAATCCCACATCAACTGGATATGGTTGTACACAAGTAACTAATACTCATTAAATATTAATTTGCTTATTTATTAGCACTACCATAAATAAGATGGAAAAGCAGTAATAGAATAATCTAAAGGAATATCAATGCTTTAAAATTTTAGCTGGCTATATAGCTCAGAATTTAAATAATTTTGCCAATTCCAGAGACCCAATATCAACTCCAAATGTGCATGGATTTGAGCTTATTTTTCCAGTGGTGGTGACAAATTTACAGGTAATATCCGTGTTTGCACATCTTGAGCCCTCTATAACCAAACAGCATGCATTTGTGACATGATTAGTTTTATATATGTTTGCTAAGCATTATGACAAGATCAAATTGTCTCTCAGTCTGGGGTATTTGGGTTTTTTGATTCCTTTGCATCTGTTAAAAAGTGGAGCCTGGGACTCGAGCAGTCTTGACCTCGTGACAGATGTCTTAGATGAACTTGGGCTGGTCAACTCATATCTTGGCTAACACAATCTATAAAATTGAGAGTAATTTAAACTTGTCTTTCCTTCTTGTGTACTTCACATACTTCTTCATTTACTAAGCACAGGGAAATATTCAGGTAAATTTACCTCTGAATTGTGTATTGAATAGAAACCTGGTGGAGGACTTCAAAATGCCAGCTTGTAGAGTCAGAATAACATAGCCCAAAGGATATCACAAATCACACACAGGTCTGTGCCATAAACAGAGCTGGCAGCAGTGATGCTCCTGCCTCACACAATTTGACAAAGGTATCCTTTCAGGGTTTTATAATCCTAGGTTAAATAAAACCCAATCAGGGTCACTGCTTTAGCCTAGTAAACTCTTGGTCATCCTTCCAAAATTTTCGTAAATGTAAGTCCCTTCCCCACTCCCTACAGGCAGGATTATTATCATCCCCCTCAGTACTCAACTTTTAGCTCATAGCTCTATGTAATTGTGATAGGTAGTGTTTTTGTCCCTCAAGGCAAAGATCATATCTCTTTCACCTTACAAACCCAGAATTTAGCCCACTGCTTAAATTCATTTCTTAAAGAAATGAATGAACAAATGAATTGAAAACAAGCTGCTTTAGAAAAATCTCTTCCTACCTGCTTTTCACCTTAAGGTACCAAAATATAACGTCCTTAACCACCCAGGAAATAGAATAATTATGAAGAATATAGATTTAATAAAGAATTTTAAAATTGAGAATTTGTCTATAAATGGCTTTTTAAGTTTTTTCTTATCTTAAGAAGCAGACAGGTCATGTGATTCAGTGTAAGTAGATTGACATTTGCAATATGCACCCAAGAAATCAGCCCTCATTTGGATATTATTATAATTAGTACTTACCCATAGCCAACGAGTCCCTTTAATTGAGTCACCAACAACCCCCCAATAGTTATATTCAGAACATTCTCTAGTACTCCAGTCTGTTGAGCAATGATAACCTGGTGAGCCAAATTCTGTAATTTGTTACTTGATAAGGATGGAATCAGTCCAGTGCTCCTTACTGATGGCAGATCCCCAATTTCAATGACCATCACTTTTGGGATAGGTTCCATAGTGGTTGGCGGTGGGACCCTATAAGAGCTTGTTTCCATCATGAGAGGTCTACGTTGACCAACTCTATACTGACTGGCACAAGTCACCGTTGGGCAATTGCGCTTTCTCTTTGCTCTACTGTCAGCAATGGCCTTTAAGGTTGCTTCATTGCCAGGCATCTCATGAATAAGTCTGATTTGGTTTTGGTCAACCTGTAAGAAGTCAATTAGTTTTTCAAGGATCATGATTTCCCAGCCTTCTTCTAGGATTGAAAACATCACAGTGAGGGCCAAATGAATGGAAACACCTGAGCGTATTTCAATGGGCTCCCGTCCTTGGAGGACAACATACAAGAGGTTATCCATGATGCTGAAATAGTTGGAACCAATAGGCTCATCCAGCAATGAGGAAGTTGATTGAACCAGAGTGGGAGGAATGAAACTTTCTCCTACGAAAACATGGGGGCTCTGGAGTTCATGGTAGAATACACCTAAGAGAAGCTTGGAGGTACTTTTGTTTCCCAATAGAAAAAAACGCAAAACTTGAGGAGTCTGATCCACAAAGCAGACCTTGGTGATTTCCCTGGTGGGTACAATGGAATAGAAAGTAGATACAGCCCCGGAAGTAGAGCAAGGAGTGTTGGCATTTATACCGCTAAAGGTGTCAACAAAACCACTAGTCACAGATACAACTGGATATAACTTCCTCATTGCCCAAGTGGCATCAACGGTGTCAAGAATTAAGATCACTTGGTCAGTCTGTTTGCAGATGTAGCCTTGTATCAGGGATCGGTACTTGCATTTCTGTTCTTCTCTAAATGTGCCTACAAAATAAAGGAAAATAAACAAGTGACATATGAACCACAATTTTTCAAAGATGATTTGCAACCCATCGCTCTCATCATCATTTATAACTTCCTGAAACATTTATCAACATTTAAGTGTGCTACACACTGAGAATGCAAGAAGTCTTGGGCAAAATATGGAAAGATACATTAAATAATAGCCATTTAATATAATCATTAAATAATAGCCATTTAATATAATTTAAATGTATATGTTACATGATATATGCTATTTAAAGTTAATGGATGTAATAGCTAAGTGTAAAAAGTATTGAATGAGTAAAATAATTAGGAAAAAAGAATAATCACTAAGGCCTCCATAATGGAAAAAGGATAGGAGAGAAGGCAGTAATAATATTTGAGTTAATGGAAAAGGAGGTAGATTGAGAGGCTGGAACAGAGAATTTATGGAGGTATATTAAAATTGAAGAGGTATATTGTGACTAGATTATGAAAGAAATGTCAGACTATATAATTTTCTCACACTTTCCTTTTCTCTAAACATGAGGAGGAAAGAACTACAAGAAGAGGAAAATAAGAAAGTAACAACTTGAGGAGTGTTGACTTTAAATAGAGCCCAAGCTGAGGATGATTGGAGCTGACAAAAACACTTAAAGAAACAGCATTATCCATTATTTCCACCGTTCCTAATCCTCCAGTCTATGAACCTAGAGTAACACTTGTTCTGAATCCACAGGTATAGTTTATCTCCCAACAAATAAAGAATTCTGTTGATTTAAAATTGATATTCACAGAGCCAGCCCTGACGGCCTAGTGGCTAAAGTTCAGCACACTCTACTTCAGTGGCCAGGGTTCGGTTCCTGGGCACGGAATCACACCACTCATCTGTCAGTAGCCATGCTGTGGCAGCAGCTCACATAGAAGAACCAGAAGAACTTACAACTATACACAACTATGTACTGGGGCTTTGAGGGGGAAAATGAAGAAAAAAAAAAGGAGGAAGATTGGCAACACATCTCAGCTTAGGGTGAATCTTCTCCTGCAAAAACAAACAAAAAGTTTAAAAAAATAATAAAAAAAATAAAATTGATAGTCACAAAATTGGATTGTTTTCTAGATACTTTAATTTGCCTTAGTACAAGTTCATTAAAGTAGCCTAAGGATTGGAAAAAAAATCAAACTATTACGAATGTAGGACGTACTACATTTGAGCACGATCTAGCCTCCTCCTTCATCCGCCTTTCCATATGATATGATTAGAAAACGTGTGCCAAAGTTGCCTATGATATCAATAAATTTCATTACCAAAATGTTGCTTCAGGAGAAGGGCACATGTTTTACTTGTGGCTCAACAATAATAGTGAGAACAACTATGGCAAAATTACAAGGGAAATTGTGAAATGTTTCAAACTGAATGATAATGAAATTTTAGCATTATCAAAATTTGTGGGATTCAGTGAAAACAGTGCTTTGAAGAAAATGTACAATGTTAAATGCTTATATTACAAAAGAAGAATTATCTAAAAGCAATGCCTTCTGGTACTATCTTACAATTTAGAAAAAGAGCAAAGCAAATCTAAAGTAAGTAGAAGAAAGGGAATACTAAATATAACAGCAGAAATCAATAAACTATAAAACAAACAAAAAACCAGAGAAAGTGAACAAAGCTAAAATTTGAGTCTTGTAAAATATCAACAAATTGATTAACCCTTCACTAGTCTGATCAAGATAAAAAGATGGAAAGCACAAATCACCAATTTCAGGAATGAAAGAAGGATTATTACTACAGATTCTACAGACAAAGGTTAAGAGACAACTACAAACTTTATGCCCACAAATTCAGCAACTTAGATGAAATAGACAAATTCCTTGAAAACCAGCACAAGATAAAAACAGAAAATTTGAATTATTTTATGTCTCTTAAAGAAATTGAATTCACTAAATTGAATACTAAATTATTAATTTAAATAGAGATTTAATTATCTAATATAAAAGAATGGCCACTTTTACATAGTGCTCTTTCTCCCTATGGTCATATAATACAGAAATGCTATTGTTAAATCAAGAATTGTCTTCGAAAGCATGGAAGCAGTGTGAAGGGAATTAATTGCATGATCTTAATAGCCATGGAAATTGTGCTTTGAGACCCTGATGCACCAGCTTCGACTACAGGTATACCCTTTTCAAATGAGATAGTGAGGTGGCCTTCCCTCACGGAAAACCCTTGAATCACACTGGTTCCCCTTTTCTAGACTCTACAGCTCACTCTCCTTCTTTTCACACATGTTTTTTCAGTCATGTTGATGCCATTGATTAATCATTCACATTCCATCCAGTTTTATACTCTCTGACTTTGTTCTTCCTTCTTCTCATCTAGGAGACATGACGTCTTTTAGAGTCGCCTCTATGTATTGCTAAATTCTTGGAACTGTCCCTAAATTAAATAATCATTCTCTTAGTTGATATGATTCTCAATCATTCTCCGCTATTAACTAACTATGTGTACTTTGATAAATTACATAAACTTAGTAGGCTGTCCTGAAGCAGTTATTTCTCAAGACAGGGACTATATCTCATATTTAAATTACCACAGAGTTACCTATCTCAAACACAGTAGATGCTCCTTACTGTCTATTAGTTGATTAACATGTAATGTCCTTTTCAAAACTCCTATTCATCAAATACTTTTTATCTATTCTTCCCAAGTGTCTAGTTATAAGATTATTATTCTATAGCTTGAATACATTTTAAACCAACTCATTACAACAATAATAACAGAATATACTACAAAAATTTATTGTGAGAATTTCCTCCTGAATTGATGCTAATAAATGATAACTCAATACTATTTGAGTGAAACCATAAGACTGAAATTATGGCTAATTATATTTATATGAATTTTCTTCTGTTCTTGGATCACAATAATTGATTTGTCCACAAAAAGATTCTGTTGTGAAAAGCATTTTTGTCTTGACTAATTCAATTCACTAAATAAACACACATGTAGGAATGTGAGTTTTTCTTTCTTTACTTCTATTCCTGATGGCAGGTGCCTTCCAAGGCTAAAAATGACAAAAATGGACCATTTATAATGTGATTCAAATACTCTTTTGGAGTAATAAGGAATAGGAGCTATACTAGTAGAACGCATACCTTCAAAGTGGTCCAGTGATAGAGTTCTTTTCATTTATTTATTTATTTTCATACATTCCTCCCAGAAGCTAGTCTACCAAGAAGGCTGGACCCCCAAACCATCTTTGCCCTCAGGACTCTATTCCCTTATTCAGCAGTGAGATTGGACGGAGCAGAGTATGACTGACTACGCGTCTTGGAGGCAGGATCTTGAGAGGGAGAATAGAAAAAGGGAGGAGAGAAGGCTTTCAATCAGGAAGACAGAGAGAAGATTTGAATGTGAGAGTTTGCGAGGGCACAATCTACTAAATATACGTGTTGCAGAGCATAGGTACACCCTGAAGAGTCTAGGACTCAGGCCCAGGGCCCCTGAGCAAACTCAGGAATAAAGGGATAGAGTATGAAGAGTCACTGTCAAATCTTCATAACCTGTTGGAATTCTGTATGAGTTGACTATAAACCCTAGAAACTGAGGCTAGGAATTCAATAAACATTTATTGGAATTCCTTGTGTGACTAACCTGCTAACAGTAAGAAGATTTGGTTACTAACTATATCACCTCTCTCTTCAGTGATAAGGAGTTAGTTGTCTTTTTATTATTATTAAGTACTGTGATATGATTAGGGATTCAACGCCAGGCACATACGGCTACTCAAATATATGTCAATTATTTGTTTGTATAAACTTAGACAGTTATCTTCCTGATTTCAGAGCAACTAGTGCAATGCCAATTACCTACATTGTTTCTATTCCTCATTTATTCCTTTTTTATGTTTTGAAGCTCTGTGTATGAATATCCTACCATGAAAAGGACACATGCTTCTGATATCTGAGACATTTGGTTGGTGACCTACCACTATGACCTTCATGAAGTCAATAATTAGTGTCTTCTAATTTTTTGTGTGTGTGTGTGAGGAAGACCAGCCCTGAGCTAACATCCGATGCCAATACTCCTCTTTTTTTTTTTTTACTGAGGAAGACTGGCCCTGGGCTAACATCCGTGTCCATCTTCCTCTACTTTATATGGGACGCCGCCACAGCATGGCTTAACAAGCGGTGCATTGGTGTGCACCCAGGATCCGAACCAGCAAACCCCGGGCCGCCACAGCAGAGCACACGCACTTAACCGCTTGCGCCACTGGGCCGGCCCCAGTATCTTCTAATTTAAGCAAAAAGAGTTTCATGAAACATTGGTTATTATAAAATATTCTCCCCATGGCTTCCTTCCCATACTCCCATAAAATGAAGGACACGCCCATCTGATCCAATATAAGTATAAAGAATATTTAAATTACTTCTTTGGTTCAGCTCTTCTTGACAAAATATAAAACAAACAGGACACTTTCTCTCTAAAACCATATACTCTTTACAATTTTTGCTATCCTAGGAATAACACTGTGAAAAAACATCTGTAATAAATAATATATTAATTATATTTTAATGCTATCCAGACTTATGAAAGATACAGTGTTTCTCTAGTGCCTTGTGTCTCAGAAGTCAGAGCTGAAGTTTCTTTGACAATAGTTTGAGGGTGATGACTGGGATGTGACTGTCTCAACCTCCTTGTAAAGGAGATAAATCTGCATACAAGTAGCATTTGCCTACTAGGAAAAAGATGATTTACATAGTAGATACATTGTTATAGTTAACTAGAAAATTCTTCTTTTATAGAGGAAGACAAAAACCAAAAACAAAATAATTCTACTCAACAATTATATAGTCATCTCTGGTAGAACAAGCTTACTTCTAGCAGGAATTTCTACCTTAGAGTTTTAACAATGAGGATTCTATACAAAGGAAATGCCCTATGTGAGCTGAAAAGTAGGTTCTTTTAAAATAATTAATACTTAATTTTATTGAAGTAAATCAGTCTGGCATTCAAGACGAGATTGTGAAAAGCAGCTAATGCGTAACTATGATAATTCAGAGCTTCATAAAATGCACTAGATAAAAAAGTCACGTTGTATTTAGACACAAGCTGAAATTCTGCAGATAAGATGGAACCTATAAAAAGGGAGAGATTAATTAATTAATTAGAGGAAGTGGATGATGACAGAGTAAACTCCTTGCGGGGCTAAGGGAGAATAGAGTCCAGGGCCCTTTGAAAGTGGGTGGGATTTGATAAGTCGAAAGACCCCATCTCTCATGGAGTAGGAAGGAGGACAGAATGTTTATGCAGGTAGAGGTGGGTGGAAGATTGAAGGCAGTCTTATCTGCTGGGATATGTGAGGCAAAACAAGGTCATCAACTGAAAGGTAAGAGTGAGGGTGTGTGTTGGAGGCTAGGATGAAGGGAGAGATGGATGGAATGGTCGTAGACTGAGAAAATGGTGTGAAGCCATTTTGTGCAAAAGGGGTGAACCCAGTCTTTCTGAATTTTAGTGCTTATACAATATTGGGGAACCATTCTATAAAAGTAGATACAAAATTATGAATTCAAAATTAGGAATAAGAGTGAGTGAATATTAGATAAAAATGAAAAAAATCACAACACAATTATAAACACAATTACAAACCTCATAAATACCATAAACATGATAAAATCTAGGGAAAAGTCACCTTATTAATTAATTACCCAACACACTTCTGTATTACTTTTTTATATTTTTTTGTTGCACACTTTTGTGTTGCTTCTTTAGATGACAACAATGTTGTAATATTTTCTATAGAGGGGACAGAAAGATAACTCATCTTTCCTTTAGCCTGGATGATTGACATTTGTTTTCTATCCTGGGAGTTTAGAAGAGTTGCTTTCAGCTTCACAGCTCATGATTAGTAATGTATAAATACTTAGAATTGTCAAACATGGGAAATTTCCTAGAAAGTTTTTCTCAGGTATGAGCTGCAATATTTGAATAAATTTCCACAGAGTAACTTTTATGGCACTGTCACTTGAAACCTTACTTCTCCAACTTTCGCTCTCTTCTCATGCCTTAAGATATAGTCATATCACAGTGTGACCTACAGTCTGGCTCCTGTGTGTCACAGCATGAGCAAGTTGACATAGATGGCTAGCAAGAACTTTACAAAGAAGTGATTGTGAGCCACAAAAACCACACCCTCTTAAACCCACATCAAATGTACATCCAACTCAACTTCCCCTTAGCTAGATCCTAAACGTGTGTGGCTACTCCATTGTCGCCCAACCCCACAGTACTTATGACGAAGAAGAATATAGAGTGGAAAGAGAGTGTTATCTTACCTTTTAGTAAAAATATCTCAATTTTGCAAATTTTACAAAAACATAGGGCTATGAAAACATATTGCTAGGATTCCTTTCAGAGTCTTGCAAGTGGCCCATGTAAGCGAAGACCCTGAAATCTAAACCTCATCACCTTCACAGTAAATCAGCTTGTGTTGTGAAGAGTAGATGAACAAATGCCTTGGATATACCTAGTAAGATGGCATGGACAAATAGGATGCCTGTGTTCATTGAAGGTTGGATATCTTTCTGTGATTGAGAAGAAGAGACAGAGGGTCACAGGTATTAAAGATATTTGCAAAGAACTAATTATAACGAAGCATAGCACAGCTCAGCTGCATAAGGAGGGAAACAAAGTGGGGGTGTACTTATGTAGTCAAAAAATGGCATGTGGCAATGGATTTAATTAATGTGACAAGGAAAGGGTTCTTGAACAAGTGAGCTGCAAAGACATGAGCCATGATTTTAGAGTAGGATGCTTGAGTTCATGATTTTGAAAGTTGCTGGTGGTGACAATTTCAACGCTATGACTATGTCAATAAGTGGTAAAGTAGAAGGTGAAAAAAGCATACTTGAAAAAAAAATAACAACAGCTACAACTAACATTTATTGAGGACTTTCTCTGTGCCAGATATTCTCCTAGAGAAGCCTTGAAGATGAGTTGCGCAGTAACAGTAACTCTGACCCATAATCCGCAGTTACCAGGCCAAGAAGCCAGCCTATTATCTGCAGCAACCAGTCTAGGAAGTCAAATTTCTATCTGTAGCAACCGGTCCAGGATGATCAAACAATAAGCCCTGAAATAATCAGCCCCAAACAGCCAGTACTTGATTGATAACTGCCAGCCTCCCTAGTTTCCTTCCCCATTCCAAGTTAGGACCAACCAGAGAGAGCCAAATATATGCCTCTAACCAATCACATAGGATGCCCCATTTCTAGTTAGCCTGCCTCCTGCTTCCCTGTGCCAACAGCCTCCAACTAGGATACCCTGAAGTCTTCCCTTTGTTCCACCTTAAAGCTTTCCCACTCTCTGTGGGCCTTTGAGTGTCTGCCAAACACAAGTGATGGTGGCTAAATCCCTTGATATAACAAGTTCAGAATAAACAACGTTTGCTTGTTCTCATTTGGGTGGTCTTTGTTTATTTCCACATCAGTTAAGTTTTCAGATGAGTTATTCACCTGGATAAGAGTCATGGTAGAGTGACAGCTTTAGAAGACAGCTAGGTTCCAGTTGAGGTAAAAGGGTTAAAGAATGCTCTATGAACATAGAGAGGAGTTTGCTGAGTCCAACTTCAGAGTTCCACACAGCACCAGGAGCGAGATTTGGAGGAAGGCAGTAAGAGGTTGGATGATCCCATGAATAAATCAGGAAAGAGATGTATATTCTGGAGATAGTAGATAGTGTGTGGTGGACTTGTAGTAGTGACTGAGGCAAGCAGGGATGTTATGCAAAACACCACTGTAACAGTGTGTGGAAATAAGAGACTATCAGAGGGGTCCTGAGGGTTTCACAGTTTTCGTCAATGTGGGACTCTGGGTTACTGCTTAAACAGGTCTTGGGTGGCCAGATGGTGGTCATCCCATGGTTATTTCAACTAATACATAATGGTTGCTTAGGAGAGCTTCAGGTACAGAAATATTTGACAGGAAGTCCATATGCTAAAGGGATTGGTGCCTGGAAGGGGGACAGAATGGGATAAGGGTTAGAACGGCAAAGAGGAAGACTTGATCTCACTACAAAGATGTTTTCAAGCCATAAGGTTGGTGGTCCTTCCTGCCTCTCTTCCTCTCTCCCTCCCTTCCTTCCTTCCTTTCCTTCTTCCTTCCCTAATCTCCTGCACCTAAAACTTCCTAACGGCAAGTTAATTATGGCAAGTTTAATTATCTTTAGTTCATAGATAGAAAAATTGACTCACAGCATTTTTGACTCACATAATCACTTATTAATGAGGAAAAGGAGGAAGAGAAAAGTGTACTTCTAAATGTCCACCTATGCCTCTGGCAAAATGGAATGTAATCAAATAGCTTCATTTTAGGATTGTATTTAGATGTAGGGTCAGCTGTGATGATGAACACCTGTGAGAGAGGTGCTGCAATAATCAGGAGTTCTCCCTACACAATCTATTGATGGGAACTCATGGAAAGCTTTTTGGTTATTTGTCAAATCACATATTTGATGAGAAACCCCTTGCTTTTTATTTTTTATTTATTTTTTTGGTGAGGAAGATTGGCCCTGAGCTAACATCTGCTGCTAATCTTTCTCTTTTTGCTTGAGGAATATTGTCCCTGAGCTAACATCTGTGCCAAGCTTCCTCTAGTTTGTATATGGGATGCCACCACAGAGTGGCTTGATGAGTGGTGCATAGGTCTGTGCCTGGGATCCGAACCAGTAAACACCAGACTGCTGATGTGGAATGTAAACTTACCACTACACCACCGGGCCAGCCCCCATTTGCTTTTTTCTATTACCATTTGGCCTTTTTAATATTTTAGCATACAATCCCAGAAGTACATACAGATAGCCACAAATTTAACGAAGGCAATAGCCTAAAGATTATCAGCAAGCAACATTAACTATTCAGTTTTATAGCCAAACTTGCAATCCTAGTGTTCATAAATAAGAAATTTTATTTTCTTTCTCTAGAACTTACCAATGACTAAGAGACAGGGTGGTTTATCAGTACCTTACCATCTATTTTCCTATTTCATCTTCAGAGTTAATCAATTCTAGTATTTTAATTTTGATGTGAGGCAAAAATAAAGCACATGTAAGCAATGCATTGGGGTTCCAGAGCTTCTAAATGGATGTAGTTCTTAATTGTGGGAGCAAATACACATTAACTACTTAAGACAGAGCTGTGCACACAGCCAGACAGATGTCATTGTCACTCTCCTGGCCGCAGCTGGCAGAAGCCACAGTGACGGTCTGGCTTCCCTTCTAAACAGCGCTCAATCTTTTCTTCCTCTGAATTCCTTTCCCTCCTGCTTCTCTCAGTTGGAGAAGGTTTCGTTTTGAGTAATGATTATCTTTCTCACTTGTTTTTGACTTTTCTTTTCCCACTTCTCCAAATGGCCTTATCTGCCAGTCACAATTTTTGTGGTCTGCAATTCTGATCACTTTTAAATGAAACCCATGCTGGCTTTGGTAATCATAATGTCATTTACAATTTACCACTAAACACGTTTATTCAGTTAGTAGCCCAGTGGAGAAAGAGAACTCCATGTGAACTCACCGTGAAAGGGCTAATCTGATTATTTCCTCATGAATATCCAGGCAGGGGTGCTTGTAAGAGGGGCTGAGAGAAGAGGGAAAAAAAAAAAAAAAAAAAAACCAGGGTCTGGGCACAGCTGACTTTCATAATAAATGTGAATAGATAAGTGACACAGCCTGTCAGGGGCAGCCGCCCAGTCACCCTAGGGCATTCTTCTCAAAAAGGCAAGAGTGGACAGGACTTAATAAATGCAGAGTGACCAGTGAGTATTGGCTTGGCATCTGCTATTGCATTCAAGATGGAGAAGAGCAGTGATAAAGTCCAGAAGCTCTTCTCTAAGTGGGGAAATTAGATTAAGCAGGTTGTATTTGTGTGTGCACATGAGCACTTGCTCTGTGTATACGTCAACATCCCAAAATACCCTAGACATCCAATGTGCCGTGTCCACGTTTTCCTAGATTGGAAACCAAAGACCTAAAAACCAAGAAAGGAGGCAAGTTAGGTATATCTGGTGGAGGAGGAGAAGGAGGAGAAGGTGTCTGTGTGTGTGTGTGTGTGTGTGTGTGTGTGTGTGTGTACTCAGGTTGCTTCCAGGCTTCTAACAAATATTAACTTTGTGTCAATATTTGTCCTTCCTGTCGTGAAATGAGGATTTTCCACCTCATTTCACGTTTGAAAAAGAAAATATGCCAAAGGGGTCGTCTTTGCTAGGAAAAAAACTAAAAGAAAAGAAAAAAAAAAGAAACAACTCCTATCCTTTATTTAGAAAAATGGATCAGAAGGAAAGAAAAAAAGTATTTTTAAAATAAATGTTTTGACTCAAAGGCACATAGAATCCTTCCATCTTCCCTTTCTCAAGAAAAGAGAAAAATTTATATGTTTAAAATTGAATGAAATACATCAACATTAATGATTTTTTTCCTCGAGGTTAACACCACCATTTCCCTCCATAATTTTTTTAGCCATTTTGTGATAGATTTCACAATTCAAAGTACAGGAGATTTTGACAAAAACAAAATATATAATCATTCTCTTTTTTTCAAGAAATGAAAAGAAATCATTTACAATTCTTCTCTGTCAAACAAGATTTACACCTTATTATTTCTAATTTAACAAATATAAATGGCCACAGATCAAACAAAGTGAAGACAGCTTGAATTTATCCCCATTTATATATGTTGACATAGACCTTCAGGCTATGAGGAGTGAAACTCCAAAATCTCAAAGATGTGTTCCTAAATACACTAAGGGAGTAACTGAAATCTTGGAAAAAAATATTAAAGAAAAGATATTTTTGCAGATGCGAAATAATAGAGAACTTTCTACTTCTTTAAAATGGAGAATTCTAGCTAAAAATTATTTTTTAAAACTTTAAAAAAACGGGCATGTTATATTTGTAAGGTGAAGGTAAATTGAGAGTGCTGTTCTTATGCACAATAGATTCAATATAGATGACAGAAACACAACCTTGCTATTTTGAAGTCTAGAATTAGAGGTCTTTAAAGTCTACTGAGTGACCACAGTCTGGTAGTTCTAGTCGTTATAATAGAGATCAAGTACATATGTTTGCACATATACCCGTACACACAGATAGTTAGTATTATAAGACAATGTAATTTGAGAAACTTAAAGTTCATTAAATTGAAAATTTTAATGTATTCAAAGTTCAGGTCCCAGAAGTTCAAAATTAAGGCATTTCTTAATTTCTCAGGTTGGCTTTCGTAATTTATTAGCCAGAGGCACTCAGGAGCATAATCTCTTCTGGTATCATTCTTAGTGAGGAAGACAGCCCTCTAACAGCTGGTGATTGGTGTGGGGAAGTGGCTTCCAATGCTTAGAAGTCAAGAGAGGGTAGAAAAGAGATGTCCAACCGTGAAGATGGCTCTACAGGAATGAAGATACTGCCCAGGGACTGGGAGCTGCTAGATGAGGAATACACGCGTGCGTGGGCATAGTGGACTGATGGGCTTTAGGAGCTACAGATTACAGGATCTGTCACAATTTTATGAGCTATCGCACGAAAATTCTTGAACTTTCATTTATTTTCCGTGGGAATATATTTCCAAACTAATCTGAGAAAAATGGAAAACCACATAAAACAAACCATTATATGAGTAAGGATGCCTGGAAGGCTTCTGTGAAAGGCCTTTCTGTCTTGGCTAAGTTCTCTTCATGAGTATTTGAAAATATTTGTTCCCTTTTTATAAAAGTGTTATTTGGAGGGGAAAAAAATGATCAGGAGAGGAAAGTAAGTGAGGAAATGACAATAAAGATGAGGGAGGAGGGTCAGATATGTATCATACAGACCCTTCTTCTGAATCAACCATTTTTCCCTTTTTAAATTTAAAAAACCTTATTTTTATTGCTGAAAGTCCATTCAAACAAATTCTAGGAGACTATTTTGTGTTCTTTTACTATGCTGACATGTCATCACCTATACTTTGCTTGAAATAAATGGCTTAGAAAATGTCTTTGTA